TTAATTCCAGGCAGTCTCCTCCCTCTTCCAGATCCTGCCCTTATTCTTTTTCTCTCCCTTCCTGCATATGAAAATTTTTTTTTAGTGTCCAGAAATCTTTATTATCCCTTTGACATTTTGTTTTATTTTCAGCTTAATTGCCTGTTGATGTCAAAGCGGATTTTTCTGATTTCTTATTTAAATCTCTTAGTTATCAGTATAGGGAAGGGAAGAGAAGAAAAGAAAAAACCAAACCTTTCCCTTTTCACTTTCCTTCGCTACTTCCGACTCTTCTTTGGGAGCAATGTTATTTTTTGTAAGTTTAAATTCCAGGGTACCTTAGTTGTTGCTTTTACAATTTAACCCAGTCAGCCAAAACTTTCACTTCTTATCTTCCTCCTGCACATTCTTTTCTGGTCGAGTTCTCCTTTGTGGTGGTGATTTCTGACCACCGCTACAACCACCTTCGGGAAAGGGAGTAATGGCCAGCTGAGGAGGAGAAATCCTCAACCCTGCTGGTGGTCTCCCCCCTCTTCACCACCTCTACAGGGTGGCTTAGCCCCAAAACCAGCCGGCTTCACCACCTCTACAGGGTGGCTTAGCCCCAAAGCCCAGACAAACCACGCACAATCGCGGATTTCTGTCTGTCGCCCAAGCCCTTTTAAGTTTATCCATTTAACTCTTATTTAGGCTTCAATACATACCCTAAAATTATAACATTCAATATAATACATAACTTCCATTCGGATTCTGCTTGGTACATTCTTAAAATACACACTATATTCTTAGAAAAAGAAAAAACTATAAATGTATGTAATTAAAACAACACATTCCATTCCAATTCAATTCTATCATTAATATTAATATTCATTAAAATCTTAACTTCTTTACCATTACTTTTCAATTAAATATCATACTTCTATGGGAACAATTATAAGCTTTCCATAATTAATTCCCCCCACTCTTCATTTATATTTTATAAAACATTAACTAATTAAGATGTTCCCGTTCCTTCCTAATTCAATTTTCTCATTTATTTTATTTCACTTATTTTATTAACAAACATTTCACTAAATTACACTAACTATTTTATTCCTCATTTTAATCATACATTGTTTCCAATTTTCTAAAGTTATTTCTATTACTAATATAACAATACAATCTTATGTACCTTTACAGAATCCCTTTTTCAGTTAAATTTTCACCCATTATCTCTAAATAGGTCCTGTTTCTCTATATCTTGTTCCAGTCCTTTGTAACTTCTTTTCCTTTCCTTCTTCCCTCTCTTCTTCTCTCTCCCCCCTTTACCCCCTTGCTTCTCTACCTCTATTTCTCTTTTCTGTATTCCCCCTTTCTGTTGCTTTCCAGTATTATACTTATTTTTCGGTTTGAAGTCTCTTCGGTGACAGACAGAAATCCGCGATTGTGTTACATATAGTGCTGTCTGTTACTTAGTCTCCAAGATGAAGAGAAAAAGAATTCTGATATAGCCCACCTAATAATACACTCTTGCTGTATCTTTCTAATAAACACAAAACCTAAGTGGGCTTTACTTGAAATCAAATTACAATTTCCACTCCTAAAAATAATTGCACATCTATGAAAATTGAAGAGCTTCTGAAATGAAAGAAAAGCAAGATTACATGATAGCTGTTCCCTAATTAGGACCTTGTTATACCCTCTACAAAATATCCACAGAGATGAAAAACCTAAGCCACTGCTACATTATTTAAAGAATAATACAGATGGAATACTTCTTGTTACACATTTCCTGATGGACACTTCCGCTTAGTATTTCATTTGTGTTCTGTTATGCTTAAAGAACACATTGCAGCAAATTATAATGTACTGTCGCTACGGAAAATCAGATTTAGTCAAGCTTTATAGCTACATAGTTATGGTTGGATGAATGTAAATAGTAACCAAGAAAAACCTCTCTCACAATTTAGCATTTCTCAACTATGCGCTTACTTTTGCCTTTCACATTGATAGCATGAACTAAGTCCATAATAACTATAGTGATTTCTTGACACTTTTCTACTATTGTGATTTATAGGGTTCCATAGTATCAGCCAGACATGACAGCATAAAGCCTATCTTCATTACCAATATATTGACACAGTGATAGTTGTATGGTGCTATAAGAGCCTATAAATTAGTGTTATAGAAAGGTGTCAGTCCAGAATGTATTTTTAAGCAGTCTTTGTGCAACAATGAATACATCATTAGATATATCTTTTAGTGTCACATTCATTTCATGACTAGGATTCTGATAACCATGTTGTTTATTCAGTTCTTGTAGGAAAACAAAGAACTTGGACTGCAACTAGAAATTACCATTACTTTGAAAATAATGACTATTTATTGATCGTCATGAAACATGATCAGAAAAGCATATTAACTGAAGATTCTATATTGAAAACATGATTTACAGATTGGTAGTTGCTCCTAATCTTTATACTGAGAACAGAGACCGTTTCTTATTTGAAGCACATCAACCCCAGGACTGTATTGTTTTGGAACATTCTGGCTCAAACATGTGAGTGTGATTATTGAAAGCATTTGATTCTAAAACAGCATTTGGTTTCTACAAGATAATGCAATTATATTCACAATGAAAGGCATAATTATTTGCCAGGTTGCCCTCGAGTAACATCTACTGTAAAATTTCTGGCATAGATTTATAGCTGTTATTGCTGGTTGAAGGTTGCTTTCTCCCTGTATGCCTCTTGCTTTCTTTGTCTCTCCCCCCCTCCCCCTTTAACTCAATTGGTATACATAGCGGAGATATCAGAACTGTCATTTAAAAGGACATTATGGAATAAGATTCTTTGACAGATGGTAATAAGCATTATGGTGTAATTCTTGCTGGGAAATGATTACAGAATTCTTGTATTGCCATGATGCAAGCTTTTGACCCTTCTCTTGATCTGCCTCAACCAAAACCCTTTTTGTTTTGTTTTCTGCATTATATACTAGAAGTATGCCATGTGGACACTATTTTTATTCCTTCCAGATGGAAACTCTATAGATGTGCTCCTATCATCTTATCATCCTAGCCTTGAGTCCTCCTCTATGTTTTCCCACTCTTCCTTTTTCCTCTTTAATTTCACTTCTGGCTCCAGAGAAACTTTTCTGCTTGAGGATTGTTGTTGTTTTTCCCCCCCAGAGCAAGGGAACTGAGAAAAGAACATGTTTTTATCACCCTTTGTTTTGTTATGGAGAAGAACTGTTCCATGTTTATGCTATGGAGACAAATGGCACATGTTGCATGCATCCTAATTTTTTAATCATGGATATAGGCAGGGATGGGCTTCAAAAAATGTTAGCAAAGGGTTCTATACCCAGTTGTTGGGTGGGCGTGGCCATGGTGTCTGATGGCCTCCTGCACCAGGCTGTGGGAGGGGAGGCGTTTTTTGTCCTCCTCGGGCTCCGGAGGCTTTCCTTAAGCCTCTGGGAGAGTGAAAACAGCCACCCCGGACTCCGGAGGCTCTCCGGAAGCTGAAAACGGGCCCATTTCTAGCCTTCCTGAACTTCCGGGAGGCCCATTTTTCACCCTCCCCAAGCCTCCATGCACACCCTGCACTCAACTGCATCCAAAATGGGCTGCATGGGGATTCCTGGGAGGGGCAGGGTGGGGCCAGCCAGGAGTGGGATTTGGGGGTTCTCCAATTAATACCGCACAGAATCTTAGCTAGGGGCTCTCCTGAACCCTTACAAACCCCCAGCAGCCCACTCCTGGATATAGGCATCCTCAATGAGGAGTAACGAAATAAAGTGATATATACTGAAAATGTATAATCACGGGACTCAAAGTAATGTCCTTAACAATAAAAGTTTGAATGAGAATAAATGGTTACCGGTAGTTTATGATCTCAGGAAAGCAGACATTCACAGAACACACTGAATTATGTTTAAGTCATAAAGTTTGCATTTGGTTTAGGATTTCTGCAGCTTAGTGTATCAGGTAAATTCATCCTATTTAGTTCATTTTTGGTTCAACGTATTGGGAGATTCCAGAAAATGATTAAATTCAGTAATCCATCAGAGGAGACAGGTGGGTTATGAATCTAATACAAAAATTAAGAGTACATTGCACACAGTACTCTCATGAATTGTGTTCAGTATGTGTTCAGTAGTCATTCATTTCCCACCTTTCAACAAAATTACATAGTTTCATGTCCATGCAGTTTGATATCTGCAGATAACAATTGTTGAAAGTTACTCATAATTATGGCCAAATCAAAACTCTGCTAATCAACAGACATATAACTTGCACCTAAACATTTTGCGTATGTTAAGGGTTTCTTATTAAGATAGATTTTTTTTCTTAGAAGATGTTATTTTCAGCAAGACGTGGTTTTAATTATTGTTTTGGCAGGAGTTCAATGCCTTTGCACTGAATTATATGCACTTTGATATTTAGCTTGCTTGTGCAAATGCTGCAATTGTATTACAATATTGTGTTAAGCAGTTGGCCATAATTTTCTGGGAACACAGCAGTATCTTCTTAATCCTACAATATTGTCAAATATGTTAGACTAACGCAACCATTTCCCCCTTCCAGACAAAGAAAGATGTGTAAAAAATAAAAAACTTTTTGGAAAAAAAAAAGGCAAAGAAAGATGTGTAGTGAATTTAATTTAATGTATAGTCTCTGTCTTCCTCATCACCTTTCATATTTTCTCATTTGCACATAATAATCTGGCATTTTAATCATGATAGTTTTCTGTCATATACTTTTACATCCTTCATTTCCTTGATGAATTTTCACTCTACATAACTCTTTTGAAGCTTTATAAAATTTTGCAATTGGTGAGAGAATGCTGTACTTTGATGTCAGCTGAGTTTTCTACTGGAGAAGTGGATCTATCTCAGTTATAATTCAAGAAGTTTTTGAAGTATCTTCCATGTTTCAGTTACTCTCTAGTCACAAATAAAGATAAAACAAGCAATGGAGACAAAGATGAAGGCAATTAATATGGGTCACTATTATTCAGAAGGAAACGGTACTGAAATAGTCATGTTAGGGTCCAAAACTGATCAATATTTTTAAAAATGAAAGTTATCCGACAGGCACTTTTGGTGTAGAGCTTCTCCTAAAAATAAGGTATATGTTTAATAGTTTTAGAATTGAAATTTCCTGTGCACAATAAATGTTTCCTATTACATATTTTGTGTTACTGATGAATATCATGCACACATAGTTGAACATTCAGTGTTTAGTACAACGATGACATTTTTGGTGGAAGTAATGTATTGTTGAAACAAAATAAATCAGTCTGATTTTATAAGAGATTGGAAATTATAGATGTTTTTTCAATTTCAATTTATGATTACTAGACTCTGGAATTTTACAGATGTTTCTATTTAGATCTCTCCCTATTTGGAGAGATATGGAAATCTATTCCTTTTCATATATGCATAGAAATACTGATAATACTAGCAATAATAATATACAGGATGAACAAACCTACTTTTCACTTTGTGCATAGCAGAACACAGGGCGAAAATATATTTTTTAATGTAATAATAATAATAAAAAGGGCTTGAGGGCACTGACACCGAGGTTATGTCCTGATACAATATGTAACAAGAACTGAACAAGAAGAGTGACTTGCAAACTACATGTAGCTGTTGAGATGGGTCTCTTATGAAACAGAAACTTAACTCCTATAAATCCACTACTTTTCCTTCTTTGCCTTTTAGTTCATTATGACAATTTAGTTACCATTCACAAGTATATAATCAACATTTTGGTGCAGGACTTTGTTCTCCCATGCATGTAAGAAGTCTAGGAAGAAGTCAAAATTCTTCTTCCAACATCTCCCCAAATTTACAAAAAAGATTGTGTGATTCTTGTTTCAAGTGAACTTTGGTGTGAGGTACAACCATGCCAGGAAATGCACAAACTGCTTTCCTTAATTTGTGCTATGTAAGGGCAGTAACACTTACCAGCCTCATTATTTGAGGGGGGCTGTGTAGAGAGAGTTTCCTCCTTTAAATTCCTAGGAGTCTACCTCAGCAAAGATCTTACCTGGAAAATCAACACAACCCAGGTAGCCAGAAAGGCCCAACAGAGACTCAATTTCCTCCAGTGTTCTTGTGAAAGAATAAAGTGGAGCAATGGCTGATGACCTCCTTTTACCGGTCCACAATAGAAAGCGTCCTCACATATTAGATTATGGTGTGGTATGCTGGCTTGACAGCCGCATATAGAAAGACATTACAGAGGGTGGTGAGCACAGCACAAAACATCGTGGGCTGTTCCCTGATACCACTAGATGACATCGCTAGGGCTCGCTGCCTTAGAAGAGTGAGGAAAATTCTTAGGGGCGACTCACATCCCAGTCAGCACTTCTTCACTCTCCTACCATCGGGTAGGAGGTATAGAAGCATAGCTAGTCGCACCAACAGGCTGAAGAACAGTTTCTACCCATGGGCTGTGAATGGAAAATAACTTCATGTCAACATAATATGACAGATTTGCAGGGCCGCCGCATTGTGTAATAAGATTGGGTCTGGGTCAGGTACACAGTGTCCTCACTGTGAGTTGTGTTGTGGGGAGGGCTGCACAAAGGGAGGCTCAGCCAATCTCATTGTACACATGTTGTACTCTGACAATAAAGGTAATAATAATACTGAGCCAGAATAGGACAACATTTGGAGCAGCAAATATTAGACTGATATAAACTTCTCTTGGCTGAAGGACAGGTGGATTTCATGTTAACATCACTCTCTGAAGGTGTCCAGAGGTTGGCAAAGTGATAATTGTTTTATCCATAATAAGTTCCCCATACAGGCAACTATCCTAACCTTGGAAATTTGGATGCCAGCAACACATCAAAAGTGTGCCAGGTTGGGAGAAGTTTCATTATATGACTGTATGTGATGGTCATGACAAAGAATAAGATCTTGGGGTGGGGGGGTGTTCAATAAACATGAAGGTTAAACTGATGGCAATGTTTTTACGCTGTTTTAATTTTCAGGCAGTGCATTTAACTACAACAGACAAAATAATTAAAGACGGGTATGTATTTCTTCTTTTATGTCGCTGCCTGACTGCGTAATATTGAAATGAGCAAATGATGTCTCCAAAGAACTGAACATTAAAATTATTAACCTCCTGAACGCTGATAGCCCCTTGGATGTTTTTTCTTCTTGATTTCATTCCTTTTCCTCTTCTCTCTCCCCACCACTGACCTTGGCTTCATTTGTCCCAGCTGCACTTTCATCCCATTGGCTGCCGGCAATTATGTGATTTGTCTCTGAGCATGTGCAGCATCATCACACCACCTATAGCCCGGGATGGCATCAGCAGAATCATGTGGATCAGTACAACCAATAAGAAGAAGCCAGTGATTTTTTTTTTTAAATAAGGCAAAGGACTATGAAGCTACAATAAACAAGGGGAGAGACTGCAGCTCAGAAGAAGAGCATAAGGGTTTTTTTTTTAAATGAAAATGATCTGAAAGATCAGTCATAGGAGTTTCTAGGTTTATTAAAAGGTTCAGGTTTGAGAAGACAGAAATATGGCACCAAGAATGTTGGAAATGATATAAACATAATAAGAACAAATACTCAAAATGCTATTGAAAATTGAAAGATGCTTTTTACCAAGTACTTCTTTTGTATGAATTCTTCCCCTTCTTGCACTGCCGATCTCAGTTTTTAGGACATTCTGCTGCAGTGGAGCACAAACAGTGGGCTGTGAAATTCTCTTTTTGTCTTACAATAAATGCTGCAGAATGTCTGAGCTCAGGGTAATTTTATGGGATGAAAACACTAGCAGACGGTGTGGAGTTTACTGGAAGACGTCAGCTGGTCTAATTCATTATTTATTGTGCTGCATTTTATGGCTAAGCTCTAAGCAGCAGCACAGCTTCTGACAGCAGTCTTAGAAAGACATGTATGGAGTGGATTAAGAATAAACATGAATCTTAACACAACTTCAGTGGATCTCTGGCCTTGCAAAAGAATGGTTAACAAATGTCTGTCTTCTTGAAGAAAGACAAACCAATTCGAAGGAGATGTGTAGGTTTGTTCCTGGCACTGTAACTCAGCCATGTTTACCCTTGGTTTACTATGGCCAGAGCTGAAAAAAAAGAAATAGTGATGTCTCTGGCTAGATAGCATGCCAGAATGCTTACCCTATCCATTTCTGCATTACAGAGGGAGAAAGGTTCCCTTTTCAACATTTTATTTAAGTACTGAAGAAAATTTAAATGGCTACCCAATTTGATCTCAGTGACTCCAGGCCACTTATCAGGATAAAAACCCAATATAAAAAAAACTATAGAAAGCAATAATTCCCCACCTCCCAGTCAAATAAGACATTTGATAGACTCCATCCCATTCTGGGCTCCTCAGACTCATTGGCAAAACTAGGTCTTCAGGAGCTTGGGAAATAGTTCAAAGTGGCAATCTTATCTCTGTAAGGATGATGTTCCACAGGGAGGGAGCCACCATGGAGAAGGCCTTTCTTCTTGGTCCTGCAAGATGGACTTCTTAAATGGAGGGGACCCATAGCATTCTTGCCTCCCCACTCTGGTGGGTCAGTCGATGTGCCTGGGAAAAGAGGAGTCCTTCAAGTAACCTGGTCCCAAGCCATTAGGGCTTTGAAGATGACCACAAACACCTTGCATTGGACCCAGTAGCAAATTGGCAAATTGACAGGAGAGATGACAGTTGCACATCTAGGCCTGCACAAAAGTATGCGGGCCACTGCATTTTGAATCAATTGAAGCTTCGGATACTTTTCAAGGATAGCCCATGTAACCCCACTCTCTTTCAGGGCTAAACTGGTGTTTATCTAATAGCTGTTAAATACTTTCTTTAAAGGACATCTCTGCATTCTAAAACATAAGAGAGAAAGAACCCAGTCCAATGACTAATATGGCAAGAACTGGGGATATCCATGAGGATGTTTTAAAAAGGGGAAATGGAGGCTACAACTCTGTGATTGAAGTCTGTCTTAATGCATGCAAAAAAGGGAAGGGCTTTGCTTGCATACTGGTTGCATCTTGATTTTTTTTTAAGCCTCTCTACACACACACACACACACATCCCTCCCAATGGATAGCCTGATAAGAATATTACACATTCCACTTGGTTGGTATTTAAAGCTTTACTAGAAACTCTGAGAGTCTTGCAACCAGCTGGCTCAGAATGGGGAACAGCCATGAAGGAAAGGAAATTAGCCTAGCTTGAAGCCATGGAACCACTACCATGCAACTGGGCATGGAGCCATTGCCAAGCATTCAGCCATAGAGCTAGGCACGGATGGGCACGGAGGATGAAATACGTGGTTCTGGGAGAGCTGCCATCATGGGGAGGAAGAGAAGGAAGATTGTTTTCCAGTGCTGACTGGTTACCTCAGTCAGAACTTTGGTCTCTTACTACCTGGTTTATTCTGTTGGTCCCCTTTGTGTCCTCCCTTTGCGTTCTCCTTTTCTTTTCTTGGCATGGGTAAGCTGCAGTGGAGACTTGGAAGTCACATTTCACTTGACTCCAGGAAGCATTGTGAAGCAAGAGCAAAGCCAATAAAAAACGATTTGCCTGCAAAGCTCAGCACTGAAAAAAAAATTCCAGCTTTCTCTGGTTTTGAATAAAATGGTGCAGAACAGAAGCAGAAAAAAGCTGATTCATCCATCCAAATATGCTGATGCCATGGGACTGGAGAAGACCAGAACTACTGCAGGAGCAGCCCATATTGACTTGCTTGGTAATTACCCATTTATTAGAAGTTATGTTGATCACAAGAGTCTTCCCTGAAGTTAGATAAGCCTATGTCATCATATCATTAAAACATTATTTAATCTGGACCACGTTTTTAAACCATCGCTGTTCTGTTTGGCTTCTTGTTCTTTTTGTTCTTTTTCTTTTTTCTCAGATTTCAAAAAAGACTCTTCTTAGTTCTCACAAAGATAAATGGAAGGAGAGGGGGAGTGCATTTAGAAATGTTAGATTCTGTTACTATAAAGTTATAATAAAAGTAGTATTAGGTGCATGACTTTGGTTTTCCGGTTTGCTTTGCCTTGGATGATTGAGAGAGAATGAGGACCCATAGTGGTCTTCTGAGTTGGAATACATAGAACAGTTCTCTTAGTTCTGTTTCAATTCCAGAATAACAGAGTTGGAGGGGGCCTTGGAGGTCTTCTAGTCCAATCCTCTGCTCAAGCAGGAAACCCTATAACCATTTGAGACAAATTGTTGTCCCATCTCTTCTTAAAAACCTCCAGTGTTGGAATACTCACAACTTTTGGAGGCAAGTTGTTCCACTGATTAATTGTTCTAACTGTCAGGAAATTTCTCCTTAGTTCTAGGTTGCTTCTTTCCTTGATTAGTTTCCATCCATTGTTTCTTGTCCTACCCTCAGGTGCTTTGGAGAATAGCTTGACTCCAGAGGTGGTATTCAGCCAGTTCTGACAGGTTCTGGAGAACCAGTAGCAAAAATTTTGAGTAGTTCAGAGAACTGTAAATACCACCTCTGGTTGGCCCCGCCCCATCTATTCTCTGCTTCCTGAGTTCCAGCTGATCGGAGTCCCAGCTAATCAGCTGGGTCTTCTTTTGTTGCCCTGCACAGATGAATGGAGCTGGTAAGCAGGTTAGTGGGGTGGGGAGGAAATAGGGATTTTACAGTATCATTCCCCTGGAGTGTGGTGGAAAGGTTTTTTTTTACAGTATCCTTCCCCTGCCATGCCCACCAAACCACACCCACCAAGCCACATCCACAGAATCGGTAGCAAAAAAAAATTGAATATCACAATTGCTTGACTCCCTCTTCTTTGTGGCAGCCCCTTAGATATTGAAACACTATTATCATGTCATCCCTACCCTTCTTTTCATTAGGTGCATGACTTTTGTGCAAGACATACCCAAGTCCTTCAACCATTCATATGTTTTAGCCTCAAGTCCTCTTGCTCTTCTCTGCACTGTGTTGTGGTGACCAAAACTGGATATAGTATTCCAAATGTGGTCTTGCCAAGGCATTATAAAGTGGTACTAAATACGTCACGTGATCTTGATTCTATCCCTCTGCTAATGCAGCCTAGTACTGTGTTGGCTTTTTTGGCAGCTGCAGCATAATGCTGGCTCATAGCTACAGTAAGTGATTGTCCACTAGGATTCCAAGATCCCTCTTGCAGTTACTACTATTAAGCTAGGTACCATTTATTCTATACCTGTGCATTTCGTTATTCTTGCCTAAATGTAGAATCTTATTTTTCTCGCTACTGAATTTCATTTTGTTAGATAGGGCTCAATGTTCAAGTCTGCCGAATCCCTTCTGTATTTTGAGCCTATCTTCTTGTGCGTTGGCTATTCCTGACAGCTTGGTGTTCTCTGCAAATTTGATGAGTTTCCCTTCTCTCCCTCTATTTAAATCACTGATGAAGATATTGAAGAGTATTGCGCCTAAAATAGAGTCTTGGGGTACTTCACTGCATACCCCTCCATGTAGATATAGTTCCATTAAGGACTATAGTGTGGTTGGTCAGTTATGAATTTGTTGGAAGTGATGCTTTCTAACCTACATTTTTATATCTTGTCAAGTAGCAGGTTGTGATCTACTTTATAAAATGCTTTACTAAAGTTGGAGTAAATTATATCCATAGCATTTCTCTGATTCACTAATGTTGTCACATTGTCAAAAATGTAATAAGATTTGTCTGGCATGATCTGTTTTTCACAAAACTATGTTGGCTTCTGGTTATGACTTTGTTTGCCTCTAAGTGTTTGCAGATTTATTGCTTGATTATCTTTTCCAGGATCTTCCATGGTATTGCTGTCAGACTGATAGGTCTGTAGTTTTCTTAGATCCATGGTAGTTTGGACTGTTTTTTTCCTTTCGTGTAAAGACAGATGCAAAAAATGTGTTCAGCAGTTCTGCTTTCTCCCTGCTGCTTGTCACCTTGTGGCCATTTTCTTTTATTAACGGACCTATTATTTTCTTGACTTTTTTTCGCAAAACACACTCTCACCGAACTGGTAGTAACACCGGTTGAATCTCACTCGAGTGGGATCCTATCTTGTCCACTAGTGGTTCGGTGATTGCACGCACACACCCCTAATGCTTGCACCCCTAATGTATGTGTGCAACTTTCCCCACACCAGCTGAGGCCTGCAGCACCAATCAGCTGAGAGGATAAAGAAGAGAAAAGAGCAGGGGTGGGTGGGAGTGCCAATCCTGCTCCTTTCTCTTCTTTCTCCTCTCAGCTGATGTAGCAGGCTTTTTTTCCTCCTCTCAGCTGATCATTGGAGGCTTTTTTTTTTTTTTTTACTACCGGTTGGGCCAAATTGATCTGAACCTGTAACATACCACTTCTGGAGCCTTTGCTTTCCTGACTTCATCTTTGCAGATTTGGGCTATTTGCTGATATTCTGCCTTAGTTAGGTGCCTCTCTTTCCACCTTTTATACTTGTCCTTTTTGTTTTTCAGTTTATTAGAGAGTTCTTTGTGCAGCCATGACGGTTTCAATTTAATTGAAATCTATGGGTGGTAAACTAGCCGCAACAAAATTCCCATTCAGTATTGTCTCCGTTTTTCCCCCCTCAGAACTCAGAAACAGTTTAAAGTTGACCCCCTGTCAACTTCAAAATGCTATGAACAAAAAACAAGGGATATCAGGCATTACCTCATTTTAAGCTGTTGTAGCTCCCAGAGCATAAACAAAAAGGGTGATGGCTTGCACCGCCTTTCCATATTTTCAATACATATTGTGAAAACAACCAGACACACAACATTGAGTAGTTGCACCTGAAGGCTATTGAGTTAATATTCCTTGTGAAAGATTTACTATGATGATTGCAATTCAAATACTAGGATGCTTCCTGAGGTAGGAGTTAATCTGTAATGAGAAAATAGATCACAACTGGGCTCCATAAAGTTGCCACATTTTAGTATGTTGTAAAAGAAAAGAAAAACACCACTGCAATTTCAATCATGCTGTAGCTGAGTCAGAAATTAAACTCCCCAGCACTCTCCAGGAGTAGAAAACCATGGAACAGTTTTTAAACTGGTGGTAAAGAACCATTTGAAATTTCCTTAACTTAAGGCTCTTGGATCCAGCAGTGTTGAGTTTTGCTTTTCAAAATTAAGACAACAAGGGCAATTACAAAAAAGCCAAACCAAAGTGAACTCAGCCATCTCTTCTGCTTTCACAAAATCAGTCCCATGATACATGTTTATTTTCAGCTTTATTCTGGGAGTAATCAACTTTCAGCCACCAATCTGGAGATACAGATAAACAAGACCTCCAACTTGCATGGATGAATTATGTTAGTGTTCAGAAAGCAGGAAAAACATTATCTGTTTTTCTGCAACAACAAAGTCAACTACTGTTTGAGCCTCAACCCTGTGTTCTTAATAAACATTTTCATGCTTTGTTAAGGAAGAAACATTTTCAATCTGGTATCTGTTCAAATGATAAGATCTCTCTAATTCCAGGTTTTTAAAGAATTTAATTTCTCCTTGGGGTGAGAGATCTGGATTGGTTTCCTATGATGCCCAATCCAGGGATGACAAACATGTCTGGGGCAGCACTTGGGGGTCATAGTGTCCTATGATACCCAATCCAGGTGTGGCAAGCATTTATGTCTGTTTGTGCCCTGGGCAGAGAGGGGCTGTAGGATGCATCATGGGAGGGGATGATGCAAAATATTCAGATGAGAATCTGATGTGTGATTTATTGTTTATTACTAGTTATTTTTAGGAAGCAGTTAGAGAAGCCAAAAACAGATGGTAAATATAAGATAACCACAACTTAACCTAAAGTAGGGTTGTCAAACTCATGGCCCATGGGCCAGATGCGTCACACACTGGCCATGCCTACCCCCAGTTTAGAGAAAGGGGGGAAAGTTGTGATACATCATATGATGACAATGTGATGCCACGAGTTTGACACCCCTGACCTAAAGTATAGAACATTATAGTCCCAGTATTTTCTTTTAGTTGAAAACAAAAGTGATTCTACAATTGACATGGGCAGTACCAACTTTTGACAAATAAATTCAAAATAAATAAATAATATAGCTTCCTATTATTTTGAATACAAGCTAAAACAGGTACATTTATACCACAATTAAAAATTACATTTAACTTCCGCTTCCGTGTGGTCTTCAGTCTCCTGCTGAATCTTAGGTGGAGCTCTTGGTGACTGAAAGCTGCCTCCTCAGGCCTGAGAGGAACATCTTGCCAAGTGTAATCCCACTAAAGCTTGGCGTGTCACACGAACCAGCTCATTTTTATTAAACAATATAGATGATTGATGTTCATTTGGTCTTCGGTGCTCTTAAAATATAGGCATAAGATAAGAGGCATCCATAATGACAACCATATTTATAAAAGTCTTCAGTACTTAAGAACTTCAGAATTGCTTGTTTGCGGCTCCACCTCCTAAATCTCATTACTTCCAGGTTTAATCAGCCCAGTCTTTGCCAAAATTATGTCATCCTTCTGGGTACCTTTGGTAACATGCCATTGGGACAACGAAATGACTGTTCCAGGTGAACTAGGAATCAGCAGGTGTGCCTTTGATCACAGCCTCTTGCAGTCCACCATCTATAATAGTTGCTTTTTTATTTGATTTAGCATTGAAGGACCTTTGGCCCAAATTTCCCCATAGGATTCTTCTCCCTAAATGTCAGCAGTTTGATGCATTTATCAGCGAACTAAGGATTATGCTTTGTTTTGTATTGGGTAGCAAATATAGATTTTTCTGGAATTGATGCAATGTTTTGAAATGTTTTTAACATTTTATAATGAAAGGTTAAACTATTTTATACTTGTTGACTAGAGGCTTATTAGATTTTGTTCTTGATCCCTGACAAAATCAAATCTGATGGTAACATTTGAAATTTGGGCATATGTTCATTCAGGGGCCATGAAAACCTATGGGCTCCCCCATACAAGCAAGGAAAATAAATTAAACTCTAAGACGATGGGAAATAATTTAACACTAACAAGGATTTCTCACAGAGAAAAAGAAAATTAATACATATATTGACTGTATTCATACAGCGTAGAACATTATAGTTGTTTAACCACGATTTATTAAATAAATCACAATTGGCTAAGTTCATACAATACATTAAGCTATAAGGTATATAGTTTGCAACTACAGCAGCTGAATTCACAAAACATACTTAGTCACAGAAAAACCAGACCATGTTATGGTTTGCTATATTTCAAATCAAGCCATTGGGACACACAAATGAATCAAATAATTGCTGAAAGAACTGGGCAGAAAGTGATCTTCCCATTTTTTCCCCTTAACATTTCACCTACTGGGTTTCTCTTTTCACTTTGTCCCTCTATTCCACAGCCCACCCAATTTAGTGGGGTCCTTTGATGCCCAGAATAAACTTTCTTGGGACATCTTAAAGGTTGCTTCCTCCACTAATTTTCAAGAACCATCCACACAACTGAATCTGAATGGAGTCATAAGGAATATAATGTAGGAGAAGACCAGGCTGAGCCTAAGGGAGGGGTTAAATATATAACAAGTCAGAAGTCCTTGCACATCCAAAAGAGATCTAAGTCCAGCCCACCTTGAATGTCTCTCTTATCTCCCGCTCATTTCATTTGACTACTACACTGCTCAAAAAAATAAACACAAAAATAAGACATCCTAGATTTGAATGAATGAAATATTCTTATTAAATACTTTGTTCATTACATAGTTGAATGTGCTGACAACAAAATCACACAAAAATTATCAATTGAAATCAAATTTAGCAACCCAAGGAGATCTGGATTTGGAGTTACACTCAAAATTAAAGTGGAAAAAAACACTACAGGCTGATCCAACTTTGATGTAATGTCTTTAAAACAAGCCAAAATGAGGCTCAGTAGTGTGTGTGGCCTCCACGTGCCTGTATGACATCCCTACAATACCTGGGCATGCTCCTGATGAGGTGGCAGATGGTCTCCTGAGGGATCTCCTCCCACACCTGGACTAAAGCATCCCCTAACTCCTGGACAGTCTGTGGTGTAATGTGACGTTGTTGGATGGAGTGAGACATGATGTCCCAGATGTGCTAAATTGGATTCAGATCTGGGGAATGGGCGGGGCAGTCCATAGCATCAATGCCTTCATCTTGCAGGAACTGCTGACACACTCCAGCCACATGAGGTCTAGCATTGTCTTACATTAGGAGGAACCCAGGGCCAACCGCACCAGCATATGGTCTCACAAGGGGTCTGAAGATCTCATCTGGGTAGCTAATGGCAGTCAGGCTACCTCTGGCGAGCACATGGAGGGCTGTGCAGCCCCCTAAAGAAATGACACCCCACACCATTACTGACCCACTGCCAAACCAGTCATGCTAGAGGATGTTGCAGGCAGCAGAATGTTCTCCATGGCGTCTCCAGACCCTGTCACGTCTGTCACATGTGCTCAGTGTGAACCTGCTTTCATCTGTGAAGAGCACAGGGCACCAGTGGCAAATTTGCCAATCTTGGTGTTCTCTTGCAAATGCCAAATGTTGGACTGTAAGCACAACCCCCACCTGTGGACGTACCACCCTCATGGAGTCTGTTTCTGACCATTTGAGCAACCACATGCACATTTGTGGCCCGCTGGAGGTCATTTTGCATGGCTCTGGCAGTGCTCCTCCTGTCCCTCCTTGCACAAAGGCGGAAGTAGCAGTCCTGATGCTGGGTTGTTGCCCTCCTACGGCCTCCTCCACGTCTCCTGATGTACTGGCCTGTCTCCTGGTAGCGCCTCCATGCTCTGGACACTATGCTGACAGACACAGCAAACCTTCTTGCCACAGCTCGCATTGATGTGCCATCCTGGATGAGCTGCACTACCTGAGCCACTTGTGTGGGTTGTAGACTCCATCTCATGCTACCACCAGAGTGACAGCACCACCAGCATTCAAAAGTGACCAAACCATCAGCCAGAAAGCATAGGAACTGAGAAGTGGTCTGTGGTCACCACCTGCAGAACTACTCCTTTATTGGGGATGTCTTGCTAACTGCCTATGCTTTCCACCTGTTGTCTATTCCATTTGCACAACAGCATGTGAAATTGATTGTCAATCAGTGTTGCTACCTAAGCGGACAGTTTGATTTCACAGAAGTGTGATTGACTTGGAGTTACATTGTGTTGTTTAAGCGTTCCCTTTATTTTTTTGAGCAGTGTAATTGGTCAGATTCTTGTAGAGAGCTTAAGCTTGCAATAAATCTTTATACTCATTTGAACTGCCTGAATCTCCTGATTTTCCCAGTGCTTGACATATAAAGTGGGTTGATTTGATCAAGATTAAAATAGATATTTGGTTATTTGGGGCAACTCTTAATAGACTTGCTGATCAGGATGGAATGGCCAGGATTTAGAACAGAAGAGAATTCTTTATTGGTCAAGTGTGATTGGACACACAAGGAGTTTGTCTCTAGTAAATATAATTATAATAATTTTAATTTATAATTTTATAATTTATAAACTAAGATTTATAATTTTATGAATGTATTATTTATAATTTTTAATAAAATATAATAATTTTATAAACATAAATATAATATATAATATATAAAAACATATATAAACAGATTAAGGATCTGTTTACAGATAAGAGGAGATATGAAATGAAAAGATTATTTGTTGTATTTTAAGAGAAGGTGAAGAAGAGAATTGTTAAGATTGTTTATACTTGTGATGAAGGGAAGTTTCATTTCTTTACATATTTCTTTTCTTATTCTTTGTGATATTCTTATTTTTCTTTCATTTTTCTTTTTCTTTCTATATTCTTTTTTCTGTGCTATTTCGTATCTTTATTCATTGTAGTTTGTATTAGTTTTTATCTCTTTAACTAATAAAATAATTATATTAAACAAATACTGAATGGAGTCATAGCTCCCTTGCATTAAATGTGGAAACATGCAACCAGAAGAGCCATCATTTTTGTGAAAATGCTCCCGATCTCTCTTTTGTTAAAGATCCATAAGTCATTGTATCAAGAGATTTCTAGTTTGATTTAATTAATTCCAAAGACTCTTGCCTATTGATCACTGGGTGTTCATTTGGCAGTCTTGCAAAGAGTATTTTGTGGTAGCCAAGCCATGGCAGCAAATTATCACAGGCCAGTGTCTTGCTATTCCAACTGGTCTATAATTTCACCTCTTGCTTTGAAAATACAAGATTTCATCTGCCACACAGTCAAGTAGACTTTGGGATTCAAACAACATGGTTGTTATGGAGAAGATACATTGATTCATAATTGTCCTGGGACAATTTTGGGGTAAAACTGCCTCCCTCTCCTCTGCTAGTACTGATAGAATTAGTAAGTTCAGTACAACACTGTTTCTTGAATCTATTGTGTAAATCAGCCCGCAGTCTAAATTTCTTTTACAGAATGACTTTTGAGAATCTCACTATAGGGCGCATGGAGCCATCACCTGGACAAACAGTGTGATTGCATTTATGTATTATTTTCCAGGTAGGCAGTCATATTAACCTTCCACAGCAAATTTAGTGGAATAGGGCTACCAGAACTGAATAGTATGTATCTAGACGACTACCGGGTAGCAAAGAGTTAACCTTTTATGTGTCTCTTGATTCTGTGATAGTTATCTGGAGCTCACAGACCAAGCCTGGTAGCCCAAGAACCTCTTTTCAAATGCACACAGAGGTGGCACAGTCTTGCACCAGCAATCTTTGTGTTTTGTGCTATTGCCGTTAACATTATTTTCATCTGTTTCTCAAGCCACACAAGGGGCAGCCTTAACGTAAGTGTTTTAGGATGTAATACAGGGATTTAAAAAAACAACAACCCTAGGTCTGAATCACATTCTATTTTCTTCAGCTATTTAGAAACTTATGTTCTCTTCTGCATTTGGGTTGCTTTGTTTTCCTACTGGTTTTTCTTGTATTGGTTTTGACTCATCCACAAAATTTGATCTGACACACCTTTAGAAATAGGTCACAGGGAAACATGAACTAGATCACCAGCATAATTCTGCATTTGTTTTGTAAGCCTTGTTGCAGAGCACCTTTGAAAGTGATTGATTTTTAATGTGGCAGAAGAAGTAATGAGACGACTTAAGCAATTGAACATAAACTAAATTGTGTTTAATTTTTGGCTAGTTTCACCAACTTTTTGGAGGGTGGATTGTGGTATGTCCCTCAAAGTCCAAGTGTGCATTTTCACCACCAAATTTCATTTTGTTAGATAAGGCCCAGTATTCAAGTTTGTCAAAGAGCCTGCTGTATCTTGACCCTATTTTTTGGAGTGTTGGTTATTCCAAGCCAATGCTTTCTAGGAATTTTGGTAGTTGGAATAAAAACACACAAGGGGTTTCTCCCATTTCTAAGACATGTTCTTTATTCTATCCCTTTGTGTTCATGCTTTGAAGAGTCAACTGAGATGCCCCATCCCTATGTGTTTTGACAGAGATAGAGGGGACCAGTACTTGGGCTGTAGTAAGATCTTCTTCGAGTAAGGATGCTGCAATGATAACACATGAATTTATTATTGCAGACAACCATCTGGGCATGCCCATGAAGTCAATAGGATTCAGGTGCTATTTGAAGGGGAGTTTAACTTTGTAGAAAAGACAGTTGCAATGAAAGCCTGTAGAACCAACTTATACTTGGACTATATCATTTCATGTTGAAGATTCATACTCATAGGATTGAGTAATATTGCTACTGGAAAGCTAAATTAGTAATTTTTTTTATAGTAAGTGATATAGGCCAAATATGGCTTTATACACTGTGTTAATGCAGAGCATCTTTATAATTTCTTGTAGAAAATACTGGGGCTTCGCTATCATGGTATGCTGTGAACCATGATTTGCAGAATAAAATGATTCTAATTACCCTAAGCAAAAATCACACAAACTAGATTATGGTTCAGTGCAACAGTACCTGATTAATCAATACTTTGAACATAATAATTCAATAAATGTTAAAAAATTAAAATAGCTAAAAGCTGTCATGACCATCACAGCTGGGCATATTTCAGTGTCAAGAAATCTTGCACAAAGTATTATTTTGTGAGGTTAAGATCTTAAGGATGAGATCCTAAATTTTAGACGATTTTGGTGACTTTTAATAAAAAATATATGGGGCAGGAATATACATTACTTTAAAAGACTCCTGGTCCCTGGATTAATGCAATGAACCTGGCAATGGGGTATATTTAGAAAAAGAAACTTTCAGGCAAGCTTACAAACTTGAGGGACACAATCTGAAGGTTTAATTTGCACATTATAACTCAATAAAGTAACAAAAAGCAATGTAAATTTGTTAAATGAAAGCAAGTTTATTGTGCCAAATGTATGTGACCTAAGCAAATACACACAAAGATATAAACACAAACGTGGAGATGTTATGCTGTAGAACCATCAGAAGGCTCATTCATACTCTTACTGTAGATTTCATCATAACAAAATAATGACAAATACTATTGTTGACTTGGGTTGGCAGGGAAAACAATTCTATTAAAAAATGGAAAATTTGATAACTACAACAGCATGCAGAAGTAAAAAGACTCAACTATACGAGCCCACTCTCCTAATTTATCACTTTGTGACACCTTGGAACTCACTGCTTTTATGTACAATGAAAATAGGAGATGCCCTATTATATAATTTAATATGATTGGAGGAAGGTAATATCCAGTGTTCAGAAATTGCTCTCATCTCCAAAAATTGCAACATCCTCTTTCATTCTGATATCCTCTAGATGTACTATACCACTGGTTCTCAACTTTTTCTTCACCGTGGACCCCTTTAAATACCTTTTATGGCCACAGACCATGGCCACGGATTACCAAGAGTTAACTCAAGATTTAAATCATAACATTTCTTCAATCCTTCGTGGAACCCCTGTGATGGCATCGCAGCCCTGCAGAGGTCCATTGACTAGAGGTTGAGAACCATTGTATTATACTATTAGAGTTTATTATTATCAGCGTATAGCATTGTTACAGTAGCCAGGAAACCACAATGCTATTGCAGAGTAGTAGTTTTGCTTGCCAAGGTACCAGCCCTATTATAGAACATGCTTATGTGCTTCCCAAGATGTGCCACGAGAGGGCAAGCTGGCTTCATACCAGAGAGAAAGATGAGGGGCTCTTTCTGCAGCATCACCCAAGGCCCCTCTCTCTTCCCATTGCTGCCTTGCAAATGGGTGCCACAAGTGGAAAGGTTCAGAACCATCAGGAACCTGACTCCTGCACAGAGCACAAGTTCATCTCCCCACTGAAGTGGTACCTAACTGTCTACTTGTATAGAATATGCTTTTGAACTCTTAGGTGCACAAAAGCTGAGGTGAGCGACAGGAGCTCACCCTGCTATACAGTGCTTGGGCTCAAACTCCCAGAGCTGAGACAATCTCCAGTGTCATTAAGCCACTGGGTCACCATGCTTCCTATTATTAAAGGTGCTGTAGTGCAATAGGTCTGGAGTACTTTTTCCCCATCTTAGTAATTTTAAAAAGCTTTCATATGGAGACCTTGAAAAGGAAGATGCTTTCTGGGTATTTGGGAAGACCGTCCCAACAGATCTGGAGAGGAAATCAAAGTTAGCTTTGCAAAGCCCACTATAACACAGCATTAGTTTATTTCAGCAGGATATCTCTCAGTCAATATCTTCTTTCCAAATAATTATAATTGCTAGATTCAGCTTATAAAATAATTTCTTCACCTTCAGTCTCATGTAAGTGAATATACAAAAGGGAACAGCTATTTATAAATCTGAAATTATCTCAATAGTATTTATAAACTATGAAAAATTATTTCAGTTTTTATGATAAAAGGGAATCACATTCCCAATATTAACGCTAAAATATTTTCATTAATGTTATACATAGGCAACAAGAAAAAGATATCCCTATCCCCAAACACATTTACTACCACAATCACAAAAAAGGGTTAATTGATTGCATTAATAATAACATTACTTTGGGAGGAAGTTTTCTTGAAAAGAAGTGTCGCAGTGCTTGTAGTGAGAAAAAGGATGGGGTAAACATGTAGACTAATTCATGTGTTCATATAGACAGTAACTGCATACCTTTGCCACTAGGTGGCAGTCAACTACCTGGGTGATATTAGGATTATTACTAATTTTCTTTAAAACAAATCTCTTTTGTCTAATCCTTAGAGTAACAAGTCGTGTAAAAACAGGAATGTGATATATACCTGATAGTATCACAAAAATTGTTTGCTTCAACCTGGTGTAACGTATAGCACAATCAAATTGAAGGATGTTGTTAACTCAAACACAGATCTTTGCAAAATCAGGCCTTGTTGGATTGTATTTCCTACACTGACATTATCTAAACATGAGATTGGTGCCATAAAACTTTTAACATTTTCTGTGTTAAATTCAAAAGATGACTGTGTTAGCTTCAACTTGTTCCAGCTCTGTGTTTTAGATCATATCTCCTTCTTCACCTTATGCTGAACAATTTTGTCCATTGGGTGTTGATTCCATGGCTCCAAAGTACAAGAAAATTATTTTGGGATAAGAATTTTGTATAAGGCACAGGCTGAGGGTGCTTCCAAGTCTGGATATATCATAAATTTTAATATTAATTACTCCCTATCAAGTAACTCCAGACAAAAATTAACTGCACCCTATTACTATGGCTTCTTTCAATAGCTGAGGCCACTGAATAGCACGCTTTTTATTTTTTCTGTCTTGCTGCACCACCTGCAGAGGAAAGGAGAATTCCATTTTTAGTGCCACTTTGAGATTACATCATTCAATCAGCCATTTTGCATAATCTATAGATTCCATTCAAACTGCAATTTGCTAAGCTATGTCTCCATTGTGTGTCTCTAGACCAGGGGGTCTCCAACCTTGGCAATTTAAAGACTTGTGGACTTCAATTCTTTGCTGTCTGAGGAATTCTGGGAGTTGAAGTTCACAAGTCTCAAAGCTGCCAAGGTTGGAGACCCCTGGTCTAGACCCATTCTCTGGGCTCATCAGCTAAGAATTATAATGGTCCAAAAATATCCAAACTGAAAATAATAATGAAAAGTGAAGAGATTTAATTTTGAGTTTTGATTCCAAATGAATGTGCTATTGGCAGAGGTAGGAATGAAGAGTTTAAGGGTTTTATATCTAACCATTCTGAGTATCTCCTATGCCTTGGAACAAACTCCTGCATATTCAGCAACATATCAGTCTTGCTATTTAGGATTTTATAAACACTTCCGGACATTTTTTTCTTTAGGTTTCTTGATCCTTTATCACCTAGATAACATCTGATCAATTAAAGGAGTTGATTGAGGTTGGCTGATCAAGTAAAGGCCTGATTGTGGTTCACTTATTGATGCTCAGACACCAGAGTCGTGACATTGAGGATGGGAGTGGACATACTAGAAGTTGCATACTAGAAGTTGCATACCTTTGAGTTGACTAACTGTGTGCATGCAGAAAACTAATCATAGAAAATACAGTTGCTAGATTATCCAGGATCTCCACATATTTTGGGTGCTTCCAGTTGGAGATCCTCTGTAACAGGAGTGTCAAACTCGATTTCATTGAGGGTTGTGTTTGACTTTGGGGGGCTGGGGTGGCTTGATGTCACTCATGTCAGGGGCATCTGTGGTGGCCTGAGCACTCTGCCACTGATAAAGGGCTCCTGAGCTCCGTTTTCATCTGCGACAGCTTTCTGCAACCTTGTCAGCAAAACCTGAGCTCGGCAGAGGCACCACGGACTGCAGGCTATCCTCTGCTGTTTCCAGGTCGGAGACAGTTACAGAGGTAAAGATGTCCCCTACAACACCAAATACTGTATAGTTCTAAATACTTCTATTAGAAGGTATTTTTGTGGAGAGAAAAGTATTGGAAAGGAAAACATCTGAATAGATGGGGGCCCTGGTCCCTGGATGAAAATAATGTACAGTTGTTGGAATCATCACTGAAAAATGTTCCACATAATTTTCATTTCTAATAATACACTGTAAGAACAAAAATAGATGAATTGGTAAAACAAGCACGTTGATTACATAGTAAAGCATTTGAAAGTTACATGTAATTTGATTGGTTTATGTTATGGCTGCTTGCAATCAGAAGACAAAGGAGAAAGTAATGCAGTTCCAGGAATGGCCAACTTCTTGTCTGAAAACAAATGGAAACTGATTCTGAGGAATAAATTAAGAATTTTTAGAGTACTAAGAACATGATCCAGATCCAGTTGCTAGGATGTAACTTGCAAGGCTGACCCTTGCCTTCCATTCACGGGGAGAGAGTTCTGCAAAATCCTATAGCCATTTCCTAAGCACCACTAGATTTTACAGTGCAGAATCATCAATAAATATTCTACAACATCAAAGCCATCTTCAACAGGGTTCAACAAAGACACCGGGACTGAAGGATTGTGTTAGGAGTGGAATCTTTTTTTCCAAAGCTCTTGACCAGCCCTATTCTGATTCTGTAGCAAAGATGACCATACCTGAGATTGCATTTTTATAGAATTTCAGAGAATGGAAAATGAGGATCAGACAAAAAGAACGTTTGCTATTACCCCAACATGTTTAACAACATTAAACAACTTGACAAGAGACAATGCTTTCCTCCAAGTAAATGATGGTTGGCTGATACAAAAGACCCAAAGCCTGGAGTCTTTGTGTGGGATTCCAGAAGTACAGAAATTGAACTCAGATAGCAAATCACCCAAAATAAAAAGCATTGTATTAAAAAAGAAATAACACAGTGCGTATAATTAGCTACAAGAAGCATAGCTTTATGTAGTGATGATCAACAACTTCATTAGGCAAAGATCCCAATGCAATGGTTAGTCACAGACAGCAGCATCCCTGACGGTTTACATACCTCACTGTATCTCACAAACTCTTTTTGTTTTTTTATCTCCAGTATCAACCATCGCTTTTAAATCAGTGTCAACCATTGCTTTCAAATAAAAGAGAAGACAACTAAATGTAGCCACAAGATATTAGGAAATACCACTATAATAACACAGTCATGGGATAACAGTGGGCAAAGGCACAGGGCTCTCTCTAGATCAGGGGTCCCCAACCCTGGTCGGTGCACTGGCACTGGAAACAAGTGAAGCCCCATCCACGAGATGCAGGCAGCATATGAAACCACACACTCCTCCGGTCCACGGAGAAACCTCTCTCTCCCGAACTGGTCCTTGGTGCCCAAAAGATTGGGGGTGGGGTCGCTGCTCTAGATTAATGGCATTTGAGTCAATTAAGTATTTGAATCAACCACATGTTCAAGTGGGATAAAATAATAGCTTTGAAACAAAAAGCAAATTCATTCTTTATCAAATGTATGTATGTGCACCAGGTGCTATAAGGCATTCCACTTGGGGTCAAAGTAGTAGGGAACATTTTTATAAAAATAATACATGTCATCTACACTTTTGTAAATACTTGCATTGACATAATGCACTCCATCCCAAATATTCAGTTGATCATTTAATACAGGGGTCCCCAAACTTGCTAACTTTAAGACTTGTGGATTTCAACTCCTAAGTTCCTTAGAATTTCTCAGCCAGCTATGCTGGTTGAGGAATTCTGGGAGTTGAAGTCCACAAGTCTTAAAGTTGCCAAGTTTGGAGACCTCTGATTTAATAAATTAAACAGTCTATCTATGAAATTGACCTTTCCAAATCTGGATCCTTCCAGATAATTTGGATTATGTCCGCCATCAGTCCTACCTATTGGGCATGCTAGCTCAAGTTGGAGGTGAAAATATCTGGAAGGATACAGGTTAAGGGGATCATCTTGATTTGGCCCTAATGTTCAAAGGCTGCAATGAAAATGCCTTACTTGAATGGCCCTTGCTATGCCTCTTTTTCTTCTTGCGCTTTGATGAACTTCTTTGGCCATCTTTTCCAGCTTGGGCTTGTTCTGAAGGTACTGTTGCTGAATATGAAGAATCAGTTACTGGTTCTTCTGAGAAGGACCTATCCTGGGATGTGTCCAACAAGGAGTCTGAGGAACGGTCTTCGTTGACTTTAGATGTTTCTGGCAGTGCCAAAGTTTCAAGGGCCATTTCTTGAGAGGTTGTGAGCTGTTTGGTGTTTCCAGGTATTTTTTCTCTTGTGTCATCATTTCTATAGATACTGTTTGAGCCATCAGGTTCAGTTCTACTAGCTGGGTCCCCTAAGTCAACCTCATCAGCTTTAATATTCAGGCTAGTTGAATGTCCTGAGTTATCACTTGTAAACTCTACAAAAGAAATGGAGTGAGACAACACTAAATCATGGCTGTTGGCATCATGAAAGGAACAGGAGTCATTTTCCTTTTGTAAATTTGTTCCATTTGGGGCTTCTCTATTTTCCTCCAAAACGGAAGAATGTAATGAGGCCTTTTCGGGATCTGCCTGGGCTGGAGAAGAGATGCCATTCCCAATGGCATCAGGCGGTGTCTGTAAATTCAACGAGTCAGTAGCCATCTCAGATTTCTCATTTATGGTAGCCCCTTCTGAAGACTTTGCATTTTCTACTTGGTCCTGGAAATTATTTTGCACCCTTGAATCATCTTCTTGCTCTGGGTCTTTCACATCCTGAATGCTTTGGTCTGAAAATGAATGACACCAATAAGAATGAAATCCAATACAAATAGTTCAAATAGCTTAGGCTGAGAAAAGGGTTCCACTGAATCATCCCAACTTCCCCATCAAAAACAAAACAAAAAAGTAGGGAGAAAAATACTGATAATGGGGAAATTATTATAATCTCAATGTGAAAGATTATTTTTATTCTTCTTTTCTGAGCTGTGAGTTTTCCTGTTGTCCCTTTTCTTAGCAGTAGGAAAAATAATGTTGAAATAATGGGAAACTCCTCCACCCCCATTGCAGTGTGCAGCAGTGGATAGAATTTATACGAATTGTAGTTGGAGAAGGGAAGGTAACATTTCTCTTCTTTTTTTCCCTCTTTAGTCTTGTTATTCTAATTTCTCTGTCTCTGCAGTGCATGATGTTAAAAAAGAGTCTCTCACCCATAAAAAAAGACAGGGCTACATTCATTTTCACCTATAAACCCTACATATGTAATTAGTTGAGTTTACTTAGAGCCCTAAAACAGCTGGTGTTTGGGGCCTGTATTATAAAAAAAATACTGTAATGGTTAAAGCACCAGTCTAGAAACTAAGAGATAGTGAGTTCTAGTCTTCCCTTAAGCATGAAAGCTGACTGGGTGACTTTGGCCCAAGCGTCAGGAGACTTGTGAGTTCTAATTCTGTCTCAGGCATAAAAGCTAGCTGGGTGATTTTGGGCCTGTCACTCTTTCTCAGCCCAACTCATCACAAAGGATTATTGCTGTGGAGGAAAATAGAAAGAAGAAAAGGGGGCATTAAGCACTGCCTTCAGTTAGTTGTAAAAATAATTTAAGATGGAATATAAAATAAATACTTGTATAAATAAATACATAAATTAAGATCATAAAATGTTCTTTCATACACAAACACACAAGCATATTAGTACATATAAAATAATAATTTCAGGAGAAGTATTCAGTTATGTTTTGATTTTTTTTTTAAAAATACAACTTTTTCAACACATTCTGCTGAACCACCTTCCATCTTGTTACCAAGAAAATGGCATAAATGTGTCCCGCAACTTGCCAGGAATCAAGCTTTATTTACAGGTATTTCTGCTCCTAATGATATGGACCACACTAGATGTGACCACATGAGGGCGTTTGCCAACCAATGTGGCTTTCATTTCTATTTGGAAAATGATCAGGTGCAATGAATATCTCCAAACAATGTTCTACCATTAAAAAAGAAAGAAAGAACTATGCTATCTAGAGTTATACTGTTTTCAATTCATACTATTCTCTTTTCCCATAAACACTTGCAATTAGCAATTAGAAGGAAAAAAATAATTTCTGGACACTGAGGTGATATTGCTTCATGCTGCTTCTCTTTGAGAATATTTTTGAAAAGAGGTGTGAGATAAATAACAAAAAGAAGGCAGTTAATTCTATTCGTCCTTATTCTAGATTTATTTGCTATTTAATATAATCAATTTATATAGTCAACTATTTCATTGAAATGATTCTGGACAGTGCAGAAATAATCAAATAAATACAAAAATAAAAAATGTAAAATATAAAAATCCATATTAATAAATATTATAAATATAAATAACCCCACAAAATAGGTAAATGGCCTCCTCAACAATGGAGCCATCTGAGCTACCATTTCCAGGGAGCCCCAGACATGATGACATAGGTATGTGTTCACAATATGGAAAGGAGTGGAGCTACTTTAATTTCAGGGAGAAGAATGTTCCATAAAGCAAGTGTGACAGCAGTGAATGCACGTCTAGTGGGACCCATAAAATGATGGTTCCTAGGCAATGGTACCTGCAACAGGTCTTCTCTGCCAGATCTAATGGGGACAGTGTAACTGGGGAGAGGCAGTTCCTCAGATAGCCCATGCTATAATGAGTCTTAAGTGTTAAAATCAGCCCTTTGAACTGGACCTGGAAGAAAACTGGCCATCCATGAAAACAGATGGAAACAAGATGGACTTTCATAAGTTAAACAAGGGGAAAAAACTCATGAGCTTTTCTGACTTTCTGTTCTTACCAATCACTCTTCCTCTCTGAGGTGTTGTTTTCATGGGAGTGTCTGTGCCATTTTTGTTCCTGGTTGTTTTTCGTAGCTGGAATCCCTTCCTTATGTCAGCCAGCAAAGCATCAATAACACACACCTCCTCTTGTTTGACAGCTCCTTTCTTAACTAGAGTTGGAATTTGGAGAAAAAAGTGAATTGGTCAATCAGATTGAGAATGTGACTGGATTGGAGCCCCACATTTCACTCATATTATTTTGGGTTCCATTGAGTTGTAGTTGCATATGCAAATCAACTTAACAAGCAAATTGTGTTTTGGAACCTGGGAAAAAAACAATCCAAATGTTCTTCCTTTGATGAGCATTTATCCTTGCAATTTCTAGCACTGAAACAGAGGTGGTATTTAGCACGTTCTGACCAGTTCTGGAGAACCGGTAGCGGAAATTTTGAGTAGTTCGGAGAACCAGCAAATACCACCTCTGACTGAAGATTTTACAGTACTCTTCTCTTGCCACATCTACCAAGCCACACCCACAGAACCAGTAGTAAAAAAAATCTGAATCCCACCACTGCACTGAACCACCAACTAATCACATTTATGCAAATAATCTCATCCATCCAGGGTTCACTTTCTTTTTGACTAGTGCTTTATTTTCTGGCTGTGTGAAAGAATTACAAAAACATCCCAGATGTTAGCACTATCTCTGTTCATAAAGTGAAAGTCCTGATAACTGGGAGAGAGGGAGCAGAATTATGCATTTAGATAGCTTTTAGTAGCTCTCACTGAAACTTGCCTACAACAGAACAAGCAAGTATAGTTCAGCTTATTTTGAGAGTAATTACCTGGAAAGCTTAACTTTATTTCCTTACTAATTGTATTATGCTTCAGTGTAGCAAATTATCACATAAAGAGGGACTTCCGGTGGTGAGGTCAAAGCGGAGCAGGAGAGCGAACTCTGCAATCCTGTATCCGAATTTTCGTGCTTAGAAGCTCTCAGAGGCATTGTGAAGCTTGGAGAGACACACGAGTTAGAAGGGAAAACCGAGGAGCAGAGTGGAGGAAAGTAACCTCCCACTGCAATGAGGGGAAGCCCTTTGAATCCGGCGCGAAAGAAACCCGGCATCTATGGCGGGTCCGAAGCTGTGACAGCCAGCTGCGATCGGGAAGCAGGAAAGTGGATCAACGCAAGACATCAGAAGGAGAACGGCAGACTGGGACAGTTTTTGAGAGGTGAGAGAGCCCTGTGAAAGACTTTGACAAAGGGAGCCTCCGGAGAGAGTGAATACAGCGGCTAATTGGCGGGGGATAGCGGAGCAAAAGAGAGAGGAGGAAACAATAGTTTAACAGCTGAGAGAGAGTACTGCAGAAGAAAAGATCGAGACTCTGTGAATAAAAACTCAAAATTTCTACGATTTGGATTGATTACTGGTAGAGCAGAAAAAAAAGACATTTAGAGAGAACAACTGGAACTTTAATGGAAAACTGTAGTTGAATGGAGAGTGGAACCATTTTGATAGAAAGCTGTGACCATGCAATTTGAGAGTGAAAGTGACTAAGTAGTTAAAGAGGACTGAGGAAACAGGAAATGAGGAAAATAATGTGTGTAGAAGAAAGGGAAAAGAAGAAGGAAAAAGAAAGCTGAATAATTTCTAAGTATTAAATTGAAAAGTGTATATTGAAAAAAAAATCTATATATATAGCAATCATATATATATATATATATAT